GAATGGAAAACAGTCAGGCAGTGACAAAAAATGAATGCACACTCACCTGCTTACCAGAGAAATTAAATTACTATTAAGAAGCTGAAGATAAATCTGAAGAACTTCATCCAAAAGAATGGCACTAACAGATGCATTTCTTACCTTTGTCTTCTCTGCTGGTTTTCACATCATCTGCTACTCTCTTTAGGGAGGTGATAAGGATACTAACATCAGCACTGTGAACTTCACATTCAACGAAAATGTCAAGATCATCAGCAGACTTCTCAGGCTTTTTGGCTCGTCGGGTTTCAAAATGATACATCTGAGTTTCAAACATCTGCAAGAGCAAAATATTCATATGATGAAGCTTCTCGAAATCCAGCTTCTGAAAATCCATGTAAGTCTACATACATTTCCATGATGTTTTTAAAGGTGACTAAAAGAGGTGTTAATAAGAAGTGCATGTCAAGCAAAGAGGTCCAATAATATTTGGTTTAGAAAGAGCTAAATACAGGCAGTGCTAAAAATTAAACACTGTGAAGTTGGGTAGAGATAGATGAAGATGAAAATGAGATAGTGTTGACTAGAATTTTATCTGTACTGAAATTGTAAATGAGTGGCTGGGTAACTCTTAAAATCCTGGCAGCATGAAAGCTGATCTATTGATGTATAATAGCACCATAATCATTAAATAATGGTGAACTATTAAAAATAAGTAATAAATACAATACTTTTCTTTTGCATTATTCAGTTTCCCAAATGAAAGTGAGCACCTGGTAGGGGTACTTCAACTGCCCAGACTACATAATGCCTATGTGTTTTACAGCTTTTGTACTCTTTTTATCTCCTGCCAAATATGCAGAGAAAATTCATTGGCTTCTAACATCCCCACAGTGCACCCATCTGCTGGCCACCACAACTGCTAGAAAGAAATAATAGCTTGGTATCTGCTCCAAACTACCCTTACATAAAATGTTGATTCTTCTAAAGTACTGTATGCCCAGATACTCCCTCCCTCCAGAGCACTCTTCCTCTTCACCTGTGAGACCGGATAACTTCTCTCAGCAGCTGTAGCAAAACTGGGACAATGAGAAAAGGGGGAAGGCAGGAGTTATAAGTCAGGGGGTCATAAGGGAGTCATAAGGGAGGCATAAGTCAGGCAGAGAGCAGAAGAGTGAGAGAGGGAGAGATGCAGAGTGGGAGACATGAAAGCAGTAGGAGCAGAGGAGAGGGCTCAGCGAAGGAAGTGAATGGTGAGTTCTGTACCTCAAAGACTTTGGCTGCCTTAGAGAGCTCAGTCTTCCTCACATTGAAGAGAGTGAGGGCCAGGATGAGAGTGGCTCTGTCATCCTCCCTGTTGGAGTCCAGGCTGCCTTGGATGTTCAATGACTCTATGCCACACACCTCCTTCTCCTTGATGGCCTCTTCTTTTGGGCCTGAGATGCCCACCAAGTCAGTCTTCATTGAGAGATAGGGGAGTGGATGTTAACTGAAAACTGCCTGAGGGTGTGAATGCTTTCCCCAGAGAAACAGCCTGGGGAATCGATGGGACTGAAGAGGCAGTGTCTATGTGGTTGGTGAGATCAGAGCTGCCAGACAGCAGTGAGGCAAGCTGGTTTCTACTGTGTTAGGTGTAGGTACATTTATGTTGGCCATGCCAGACACATCAAGGGAAACCGCCTGCGTAGGATGTGCGCAAGAGCCCAAGATAACCCTCCTCCTCTGGGTAACTTCAAAGTGCTGTCCCAAGCTGTTCAGTCCTTGAGATGGACTTCTTTGTAGAGAAGCAATTAGCCTGAGTTTCATTTACATCTTCCAGTCTGGACTGCCCTGCGCTATGTATCTGAGTTTGTTCTTCCACCCCACTCTCTCTTACTTCACTGCATGGAGCCCTCTCTGCATGGTCCATACCTTCTGTGAAATAATGGGCTCTTCCCCCAAACCCTAGCCCAACTGAAGTGTTGTCACCTCTGCACTGACACAATTGTGGAAGTGACAGAGAGACCTCATCCAGAATCAGAGTTTGTTGTCTACTTATGAGCTTTTCTTGACCTCAGGATCTGAACCTTTTCTACCCTAGCCCTACAAGGGATAAGTGCTGCCTTCCAGGTTAGGTACCCCTGTTGGAACTTGGTTTTGTCATGATTTTATCTCCAGTGAAATAGACTCACAGGTGTAGGGCAAGCTCCAAGGGGATTCAGCTCTGTTCTGACAGGGTATGTTTTCCCTTCCCTAACACCTGACATCAACAAATCTGTTTCTGGATATGAGTACCTATATCTTCATACTCCAAGTTACAGTGTGCCAGACCTCCTGTGAAAATCATCTTGCAGGTCCAGAGATAAGACCACACCTCTGTCCTGCTTTTGAGATGGAGCAATTTTTTATGTGCTCCCTAGCTTATCCTGGCTTGGTCAACCCCCCAGGTGCTGTAGCGCTCTTGCCTTCTGCCTGGCCTGGGAAGATAAAGAGAGTACAACAAAATTTTGGTCTCCAGGGACCATGACAGCACCATGTTTCCCCTTGGCCCAAGACAGAGCACCGGGAAGGTCTTGATTTCCCCATCTATTGCCTAGCTGACAGGCAAATCCAAGGTGAAATTTGCAGCACCATGCCCAGGAGCATGTCTCGGCATCCTGAGGAACACCCTTGGGCAGTGCAGCTTTTGCAGGGTGTGGTGAGTGCCAGCCTGGGAGGGGGTTGAAAGGCAGATGCAAACTGAATGAGTTGGTCGGAGAAGAAATGGGCTTTAAGGGGGAAAAAAGTTCTTCCCACTCTCACATTCCCCCAGCAGTGGTGGCAAGGCTGGGCACAGGAGAAGCTGAGCTGAGTCTGATTATCTGAGTCAAAGCTAGGCCTTCTCTGTGAAGAGCTGATGCACGCATCCCACATCCAAATCATAGGCATGGCACAAACAGCAAATGGCACAAGGTCTCCTACTCCAGCTCCATGTGGATATGTAGGCAAAACTCCTAGGGCTCAAGATATGTGTTTAAGGCACTGGCCACAAATACTGCTAGAGCAGGGATGTCAGGCTCCCATGGCTGTCTCTGTGCTCTAGGGTCAGAGTCCCATCTCTGTATGTTTGCACAGCACTGATCAGGTTCTGCACATGAATCAAGGTTTCTCTACAGAGGCAGACTGGACTCACCAGCCAGAGTGACAGCTGGAGCAGCACAGCTTATGACACAGCTTTGCATCCCTCTGCAGAAGTAGGACAGAGAGCCCTGGCTCTCCAAGTGGTGAAAAGTCCTTCCCCAACCAGTGGACACCCCAATAACACCTCAAATCTATGCTTTGAACGGGTCTAGGAAGACCTCACCTACGATGTAACTCAGCTTCCCAGAGTTCATTTTTCAGCATCCTTGGGAACATCTAGGAGTGCAGGAGAAGAGGTCTCAGGCTGGGTACTGCATTTTAGAAGGCTATTCTTGTCCCGGAGTACAGTGTACCATCTACTCCCGTAGGGAAAGGCAGTTTCTCTTTGTAGAAGGTGAAACTCTCTCACCCCAAGAGTAGGTTCCTCATCTCTCATGCAGCCCCTAAGGAGGTTCTTTAAAAGGCTGTACCTGATCAGCACAAATTACCTGTATGTTTTTCATCTGTTACCATTGCAAATATCTCCACCCTGCATGAGCAGAGTGCCACTCATTTGAGACAGATGCAGCATTAATATTTCTGTTTATTTAGGTTAATTTGTGTGGTTACATTTGAACATCATCTCTGACAACTGCCAGCATGGTTTGAAGCAGCAAAGAGACAGGTTTAAAAAGAATACACTACTGCAGAGTGCTCCTGTGCTTAATCCCTCTTTCAATAATTTCTGCATTCTTTGGGGAATAAAGTATCCCTTCTCCAAGCTGCTGTCAGATCTAGGCATCTTAAGACATCCAGAGGAGTCCACCTCCCTATATAACCTCTACCAACAAGCCCCCTCCTCATCACAGTCATTGACCTTGGTCCAGGTCACTGTAAAGGAAAAGGACCTCATGAAAGGGTTTCTTTGATCACCTGAAACAGATGGAGATGGAGACATCAAGAAATGTGATTGTAGTGGAACAGGACAGAGGAAGTATTACTTAAAAGATTACCTTTGGATAGGTTAGTCAGAGTAACATTCAAAGATTGGTGTATGCAAATATAAGGCAAGCTAGGCTTTGTTGTACATTTCTAGGTAATTGCACATAGTATGACTTTTTTTTTTTTTGCTTATATCATTTTCATGACCTTATCCAGATGAGTGATAGTTAAAAAGTGCAAGAGAGCCTTTTTTTGTGCTGGAGCGCACCTCAGATGGGTATTCCCTCCTACCTGGGTATTTAATTCTGACTGATTTGTGGGGTTACCTTACAAAGATGAATTCCACTGGTCAGATAATGCAAAAGGCATTTTCCTACACACCTTTTATTTTCTTTAAGCATGGAAATAAGAGGTCAGCCATTAAGGAGTACTATTTAAAATGGGATTTATTTGTACTATTTATAATGGCCAGTCTTCGCAAACGAAGAACCGGGAAGGTCTTTCCACCTTCCAGCCTGCGCATTGGATTTTTTAGGTGAGACACAGTGTGCGCGGAACTGAGCCCACCCTTTAATCCTGAGGTTCATCTGCCAGGGCCAAGCGAGCTTGGACGGTGGCAGCGAGGTCCTCAGGATTGCCTTACAGGGCTAACGAGCTCCATCTGTCTGGGGAGTGGCCCCGACCGGGAATCGAACCCGGGTCTCTGCGGTGATAGCGCAGCGCCTTTACCCTCTAGACCACCAGGGGCTCCCATTTGTACTATTTAAAGCACATATGTACAACATTAATTTGTTCTGTGAGAAAATCTGCTTTTTGTACAATTCCTCTGCTTTTTAAATATCGAACATTTAACTTTTTCTCATCTCTCAGTCTTGCTGAACAGCCATTTTATGCTGCTTTGGCTGGAGCTATTGCTCATTTAAACTTGTATTAAGGGACACAGAATCAGACTTGTGGCATCAATATTCTTTAACTATTCCACTTGCACATAAAAGACAATCATGAATCCTTGGTTTTCAATATCACTATAGATCTGCTGCTGCTATCACTCATAACAACAGCCAGAAGCAGAGGAGCTGGGAAAGCTGTCTGAGGATTAGTTTGAAAGACTTTACCTCTGGGACGAAATTTTCTCTTTGTGGCATACAATCACCTTATGAGTCCTATTATATTAAAAGAGAAAAATGTGGGCTACTTTCACACTGAAAATACATGCCAAGCAGGATTGAAAAATCTATACAGACATTGCCATGAAAAAAAAAAAAAGAAAAGGAATAAAAAAGATACAGAGATAAAAAAGGTTACTTCAAAGCACCAAAATGATACTACTTTGCATAAGTATATGTCAATTGAAAAGGGCTCCAGCTGGTATCCTTAGAGTGATATTATTATACACCATAAATATAATGAAAACAGCTTTACTTTCTATCTTCCTAAAGGATGATGCTCACATTGAAGTTCTACTGATTTTCAAACTACAAATACAAAACTAGTACAACAGAAGATATGAGACTCATCGACTTTCAAATCCCTCTCCATCCTTGAATCTTCTAACAGAAATGTGACCCCTGATTTTTGTTAGTATTACGATGTAAAATTGTTTCAAGCTAAAAATACTGTTCAGTTTTGCTTTGCTCCATTCTGTTCCAAAGTACAAGTGCCGATCTCCCTCCTCCAAATAGGGAGCTACAAGGAGGCACTACACAATGTAGACTGCTTCAAGAAGTCATTTAGCTGATTTGAGTGAAAGTTACTGGATAAATGCAGAAATAGCTTCCTGAACAGCAAAGCTATCTCTCCATGCCAGCCATTGGGTTAGGCTGAAACCACCTTTGGTTCCATTTGCTAACTCAGCTGAGATGTACTCCAGGAAAAATAAAACTGTTTTCACCAACAAAAGGGAGATTAAAGCTCAAATAGGAGATGAAGATTCAAAAAGGTATCATGACTTAGGACCTGTCTTGAAAAATAACATTTGGGTTTGAATGCAGTCAGCCTAGGAAACAAGTAATCCAGGTTTTCCATGGCTTTGGTACAGATTCTAACCAAAGAACCACTTCCTCTCTATTTCCAGTGTGCTGATATCCACCTTCTAGACTGTGAGTCCAGAAAGTTAGGAGACACCTCATACTGAATAAGGCACTTTCAGAGAAGGACACACATGGCGAAAGGGAGCCTTCTCATGTCAGCCTTCCACAGTGAGTAGCTGAGCATGTCTATTAAGAGAGATCTCTCCATTCCATAAAATTACTGTTCCCAAATCAGCTCTGAGTTCATGACGTTACACAACATTACAGCCAGCACAGCTCTGAGACTGGACTAGTAATAAAGCCCTGTTGAAACATCTACATGGTTTCTTCCTTGTGCAGAGTAATGATGAACTGACCTCACATCCAACTGCAAAAAGCCACAAAGACTTACCTAAAGTTGCCTTTAGGTAACTCCCCTTTGAAGGGGCTTTTGTTGTGGATACTGTATCGAGGCACAGACTCCATGTTCTGGATAAGCAGGTCGGTGGTTTCCATAAGGATTCCACTCTGCAGACCAATGACACATCACAGCATGCAATGTTCTTGACTTGCACAGATCTTTCGAGATTGGTAAAATAATTCAGGATAGAGATGTTTGTGTGTGGAAGTAAAAGTACAGAGGGTCAAGCAGCACATGTATATGCCCTGAAACGTATAGAGAGTTTGAGACTCTATGGGAAACTTGGACAAATATGAGGGACTGAGGGGAGAGTGACTGTGAGAGAAAGCAAGGAGGATTAGTCTGTTCATCACTGACATCCTGTCCCTGGTCCCAGAATGGTAATGCAAACTCACAGGAGCAGAAAACTATAGATCTGCATGGTGAAGATCTTCTACTAACCTTTGGAACAAGACATATGGAGGCTTTCCCCAGATTCCCAGAAATAAGGTAATTTTTATGCATTAGTGAGAAAAAATGGATTAACGTCTAAAGGACAGAAGAGTCAAGGTCCACCTGCAGATGTCTACTTCTCTGCTAATCTATGATAATTAAGATATATAACATAATCATTTATGCAGTACACTGGAATATAACAGACTGAGGTTAGATGAAGACTGACATTTGCACATGGCAGCTTCTGGCCAGTAGCCAGTAATTAGGAAGTTACAGCAAATCTTCATTTTATCTTCTGGAGGGCATTGCAAAGGATTCCAATCTCACCTGCAACGGAAATAATCAGATTAGTTACTTCTTGAGTTAACACATTTCTAACACTCCTGTACATTTTTTACCCCTTATATCCATTCCCTGGTGGGTAAAAGAAGTGTTGGGTTGGACACATTTATTTCTGGAGTAAGGTCAGCAGAGTCAGGCCTTTGCCTTCCTCAGCCATACAAGGCTGGCTCACAGTATCAGAGATGCTGGCTCTTGGCAGGTTTGCCAACGTGAGGGGGAAAATGTATCAGGAAAAAGGCTAGAATGGCCCAGCTTCTCCTTCTCTTCCTTACTGAAAACATCTGGAGCCACACATCAGAATTCATCTCAAGGCCATCTGACCTTTCCTTGCACCTCCACTAAAGCTGGGTATTTCAGATTAAAGAAGCTACAATCAAGTGAAAATGCTTTTTGAAGTCTGTCTATAATTATTTTATGCATGAGGAAGGAGATATGAGCTGCTTTATCTTGGTCAGACTCAGAGTATTACATGCAACCAGACAGAATCTGCTTTGTGGTTCCTCTTTCTGACCCAAGTTTGGATGAATTCAAGGCAACAAATCTGTAATTGCTTACTATTGATAGTGTCAGCTAAGTTCTTCAGCTGCTTTGCGTTGTCCAAGACTTCAATCCTCTGGGTGTAGGGATTATACCGAACAGAGAAAGGACGAGGGATCGTTTGAGCAAATTTCCTGAGGGAAAAATACATTGACAAATATTAAGTTGAAAACCTATTTTTTTCCTAACTCACTCTTGGTGCATGCATTTGTTGATCAGGGGAATAAGAAAATCCATCAGAGGAAATATGTGAAATTCCTGCTGAGTGATCTGAGACACAGCATTGTGCAACACACTTGAATCTGCATTTGTCCTTACCACCTTTAGTTTTTCCTGAACAGGACTAATTAATTTGCTGGCATGGCGACGCTGCTCCTGGTATAGGCCAACTACCTAACGCTGGGGTCTGCCAAACTTGAAAACCTCATTTTCCTTTCAGTGATGCAAAATATAGAGATTCTGATCCAAGTCTGCAGTTTCTGGGAAAATAAGGTCAAGTGCCTATGCCATCCTGGCATAACAAGGAGCAAGCGGAGAGCTAACTTCTGCCATGGTTGGTAGAAGTTTCCAGATTATTTCAAAGATAAGAGATAGTCAATGGAGTGAAGCAGCATTCTTTCCACCACTTATTTGCAGTGTTCTCTGTTGCAAAATAGTTAATCCATGGCAGAAGCATTAAGATCTTGGCATCTTGGGAAAATATTAATTTGCATAACCACAGAACTGTGGAAAGAAGGACTCTGAATGGAATGAGACAGTCAGAGCTATTGTTCCAGGCTCCTTGTAGACCCCAGCAGGATACTGGCTCATATATCTGCTTTGAATTACTGAAGTTATTGCTGAAAGAGGAAGGAAAGCACGCAGGAGCTGATTATGAAGCCACACTATACAGGCTGTGACTCAGCATGGTAAATCTCATAGTACAGTGGAATATGCTGCATGCCCCCACAATGTTTCTTCAGTTTAAACCTAATTATTATCAGATAAGGACACTGTCTCAAACAGAATTCAGTTCAAGCAGGCTACAAGATGAGACAGTGAAAAAATACTATGTTGACTATGATGAATTTAGTAGCATCAGTCTAGTTTTTCTAAGAGGAGAGATCACATTAGAAGATGGTCTTCCTAAATTTCAACTGAATGTAGGATCCTAATCAGAAGATGAATGTACTAAGTAAGGCAGCATCTTCCTCAAGGAACTTTCTACTCAGAGTAGATAGAAGTAGATAGAAATGGAGAAGAAAGATACAGAGAAGATAGAAACGACCTGTAGGATGTTAATAGCATAGACCAGAAGAGAAGGACATCTTTCTCAGCTATTATCCCAGAGGAAAGGGCAAAAGGAGAAGCTGCAGGCCTATAATGACTAAAGAATCAGTAGGGGAGGTAGCTAGGAAGACGTTGGAGCTGAGGAGCCTGGTGTAGCAGAATGTGTTTATCTGTGAATGGTAGAGAGAAAGATAAGAAACTGCAGGTCTGGGACAAGTCACTGTGTGGTATCTCCAAGTGAAAAATTTGTTGTGTGTGAACCAAGGCTAACTCCCCAGTGGCTTGACTAATATCCAGAAATATGGTGGTGTTTTTTTAAACAGGAATAGAAAAACTGTTGTGAGGTGAAATCCAAGCTGAACTCCAAACACAGTCTGAGCCATTCTTGTCTCAAAAACCAGAACTGAACCTGGACCCCTATTTCAAAATCTTATTGAACTGGAACTGAATCTGTATTTGAGTTACAGATGACTGAAAGATTTACTGTGTAGCCTTGTAAACACACTGCTGGTAACAAGCTGGAGGCTTTGTATCAAGCTAACCACATAGGCCTCAGGATTGGGAATATTAGGCTTACTTGAAGTTTTGTTTCTCTGGAATAACAATTGTCTAATGACCATGTAGCTACTACCTAATTTGTTTTAGTTTTGCTTAATTCTGAATAATTGTGAGGTATAATACCTACTGGTAATAATTTTTATATAGGTAGGAATAACAAATAGTTATACTGTATATAGTGAATTAAGTCTGACCCTCCAGTAATGATGCAACATAAAGGAGGATCAGCAGGGGCTGATAACAGAGGCATTAAAGGCTCAAGCATGATGCTGCTGGTCCCTGGGCTATCAACAATTCCCACTTGTCAATTATTCACAGTATAGCAAATTTAGGAGTAGAGAAAAAGCATGTTAGAGGAAACAAAGGGGATAAATACAAGAATATTTAGCATAAATTCAGAGGTTACACAGATTTGAAGGCAAATGCAGGAAAAGTAAGAGATAAAGCATGTTACAGAACAAAAATGGTCCTTAGGGTTGAGGAAGAAGAAAAGAAGCACCAATACTGCCCATCTCCTCACAAAAGAGAGGGAAAACTCCATTCTTTAACATCACAATCCTGCTCTGAAGACTTCAAGGTGCTGGTTACTTGACAAGGCCACCCCCACCACAAGACTGAAACTGTTGACTTAAGACACAATGCAAAGTTTAAGGGTGAGCATAAACTCAGAGGTAAAGGAGTAGATGCTAGGAGATTTTTTCTTTCACAATAACTCTTAACTCTAGCAAAGTTAAAAGAACTTGTTTTGTATTAATTAGCTAGCTTTGACACACTAAGTGTTAGTATCATTGCAATTGGACTGCTAAATTTTTTTTGTTGCATTTTGGTTAGATGAAACTCTTGATTACACTAAACACAAATTCTTGGCTTCATGTATAATGTATGTTCCCATTACTGCTCATTTTTGCCCAAGATTCTGAAGATATCAACTGATTAGTCTCTTTAAGCATTGCACAATCTTTTTCTAGTGCCTCTCAAAACATTTTTGTCAACCTAAGATCTATTATGGCAATGGGATGTACCGTATTTGCAATGGAAAAGAAATGGAATCTTCTCTGGAATGGCTGGCTTACCTTAGCTTTTCTTTTGCATCTTTAAAACTTTCAGCCACATAGTAGATAGGCTGGTACTCAGTAACAGGGTACTTCTGCACAGAAGTCTTCTCTAGCACTAGGGGCTGTATGTCAGGCTTACTTGATAAGCAATACTATGAAAAAAAATAAAAGATAAGAAATTTATTTCAATTTAAAAGTCTTTAAATGTGCTGTGAAAGAAATATAGGCCCACTGAATGGCATCCAACCTTAGACAGGGAAAAGTTGCTTCTATGGTATACAATGATAATGTCACTCACCAGGAAAGAAACAGATATGAGCTCCCTGTGTTTGCATACACCTACACTCTTACCAGAGCACTTCAATGAAGTACAACGTTTCATGCTATTTCTATGCACAAAGTATGAAGCAAAAATAAAGATCTGAAGATAATTAGGCGAGAAATTTTAGTGATTATAAACATATCTAAAATGTTTTCTAAAACATACCTGAAGCTCCCCGAATGAAGACAGCAGCCCTGCGCCATATGCCTTCAGTGAATCACCTTCCTTACAGAGTCCAAACTCCACTGTAAACCAATAAACCTAGCAAGAAAATCAGACAGAAATTATGATTCCTTGATCAAAACCAGTATGTCTAAACCATTTATTTGAATATATTTGGGGTTTGCATGTCCATTTAAAATGTTGTCATGTGTCAAATTCAAATGTGTAAATGCAATAAATGTCCCCTCAGACTGAAATCCTTCTCCTGGAAGGGGCACAGAGCTAGACTTCATGTGCTTGAGAATCAGTTCAGTTCCCTGACAAATGCTGTTGTGTTTTACTGTGTTCATCTTTATCAGCAGAGTTAGGGAAATTAGAACAACAAAGCTTCACTTTGGCTGGCCAACCCAGCAGAAGCTTCAATCTCAGTTTATAAAAGTTTGTGTCCTGCCTCACACGGAAGACATCTAACTGCAGCAACAAGAGGATGAACAGGTTGCTAGTGCGGTAGTGAAGGAAGATGATGTGTGGTCTAGTCTGACTCCTTGGTCTGTCATTTTGAAGAGATACCTGCCTTGGTTCAAAAGAACTACCTCATTTATTGGAAGCATCAGAGCTGGTGCAATGCTTTGCCCAGGTGGGTTTGCACTGGTGACACCAATCTCACAGGAATATCCTTGTTTTTATTTGAAGTTTGTAACTCTGGGTCTCAGTAATCTCAGAGTTGCATTCAGGTGAGTGATGTTGGCTGCAGAGGACATTATCTGCCTGGCAGAGTGGAAGACAAGAGATGCTTGCAGCTAGAACAGCTACTGAAGCTGCTTCCTGAAATTTCCTGTGGGGATGTAGTAACATACAATCTTTTCTTGCCCAATATGTTTGTGCTGGAGGAAATCTTGTCTGGGCTTCTGTGTTTAATCACAACTGTCACTTCGAATAAGGGGTGCCAAAGCTATTTTCCTTTAATGCAACTGTTTCAGGGTGGGGTTTTCCAATCATGGTCTTCACTCTGTTCCCATTCAACTCTATGGGAGTTCTATCAGTGACTTCAGTGGCAGCAGAATTAAGACAACACAGGGCGCTTTGGAAAATTGATCCCTCATTTATTAAATTACCGTAGCAAGTTTCTCGATGAAATCATCTGGAGCTCCCAGAGATGCCAGTCCAATTTCCTGTAACAATAAACCATTATTCTTCAAGCTGTTTATTGCAAACATTCTTCCTGTCCCATATTATGTAATTGCTCACATTTTAAATGTTACCATTGCTTACTACCACACACAAATGTTTACAGGACATGTTCCTATCATGCAAGATCAATTTTAAAGCAGAAATCTCTCCAAAAACGAACAAAGGGTCTTGTCCAAATGTCATTTACAAGGCATGATCCTCTGTGTCTGATAAAAAGCCCATTGAGGTCAAATAACAGTTTCTTCTTGCTCTGACAGGCTTTGACATGCACATCTGAGAGAATGATAGGGACAAAAGGAGGTAAATCAATCACACCCACACACCTTATATATTCCTCTATGTTTGGATGGGCCCTGATTAAAGGAGTTTTCTGGATCCTTGAATGAACTATTTTGTCTGAATGATAGAGCATGATTTGAAAGAGCTTATTTATACCTTGGGAAATAATGGAGGCTTTTCCAGGAGGCATGTAATAGATTCAGAAGGCAAACACACAAGACTATATACGGGTTCATTTCTCCATTTGCTCTAGTGAGGACTGCATAGTGCAAAAATCAGAGGGCCTCCCACACACACTCCAAAGACATTGGAGTAGCTATCACCATGTCAAATCCTAGTAAGCCAAGGTACAATTGGGCTTGTCTTGAAGGAAACCCCAGTTCTGGAGAAGGGACAGGCAATACTGTAGGCAATACTGAGAACTTACTGACTAGATCAAAGCAACTTCTTTCACTTGAGATGTTACATCAAGTCCATTTTCCTTTCCTTCCTGCTTACCTGCCTGCCTTCTTGCCTTCCTTCTTCCTGCCTCCTTCCCCTCTCCCTCCCCTCTTCCTCCATACTTCCCTTTTTTCTTTCTTTTCTTTCCTTTTCTTTCCTTTCCTTTTCTATTTTCTTTTTTCCTTTCCTTCCCTTCTTCCTTCCCTTTCTACCTTTCTATCTTTGTGTATTTTCATGTTTTCTCATAAGATGCAGGTAAAAATTTACTCCTTCACCAAGGTTTGCCTTCTTTTCCAGAGACACTGCCACTACCAAAAGAAAACTACTCTCCAGCCTTCTCCCATGTTTACAGCTGGGACAGTTCCTCACTTTACTCAGCCTCCTATGTGGCTTCAACAGAAAAAAAAATTTTTAAAAAATGCCCACTTTCCCTAATATTTGGACAACATGGCGGAGTAATAATTCATCTGACCCATGAGCTATTTTGCTCAAAAGTAACTCTCCTTTGCTCAGAAGGATCAAAATTTGCAGAAAGGTTTTCAGAAGATGGCTTCACAGAAGGGTTGCCTGAAAAAAACCAACTCACACAAGACGATATTGGGAGTTGCTGATTTCACCTAATTTTTGAGCAATACATAAATAATCTTAGCCACTCTTCAACAGTACGCTTAAAGGTGAATCCACACCACCCTTCATGACTCTTGGATCATCCTCTGAATTACCTAGTCTCTCGTGTGTTCAATCATATGAAGAGTATCACCACTGAGCAACTTACCTGGGAAAACTGAGCAAAACTGGGGTCAGCGAAAAGAGGCACATGTCCTAGCAGCTCGTGACAAATATCACTGCAGGAAAAGATGACATCTGAATAACTGTGATTCAGGAAAAGTCCAGCAATGCTGGATGAATGCCTTAGAGTCAGCACACAGGTAAGAGCACAGTGCATTTGCTCCTGCAAGAAAGTACTGCTCACAGGAAAACATTTTGCTCTAAAATTATTCTCGTGATGGAAATGTTTGCGAACTCCAGGATTTTCAGTGTTTTTATCATCACACATCCCTCAGCAGAAGGATGATAAATTATTTGTTTTTCCTTATGGAAAAAAACCATCCATTCAACTGCCCACCCAGCTCAGGAAAGCCCAGAAAGAGATCACCCCATCAAAGAGAACATAGATGTTTCAGTCTCAAGGACAAGAAAACTTTTCAGATGGAGCTCAGGCAACTAAGACAACTCACCATGGTGTCAACATGTACCTCAAGTGCTTAACTCTGCTCCCTTTTCAGACCCACAGCTTCCAACTGAGAGATGAAAGCTACCTATGATGAAATAGGTAGGACTATTTCATCACTAGTTGAAGTTGGCAGCTGGACAGGCATCTCACCTAGGCACTGTTAGATTCTCCAAATACAGAGAAGTGATTTGGTGAGATGGAAAAGGGAGAGGGATAAGATGCTCCCAAAAAGCCAGAACTGTGGAAAACATTTCAGCCTGGCTTTGTGCAGGACGAGAATAGAGTGAGCAAAAGCAGAAAGGAAAATCAGAAGAATGAAACTAGAAAAAAGGAAGGGAGAAGAGGCTGTGGGAAGTAAGGAGAAAAGAAACACTAAGGGAAATGAGGAAGAATTGCAACAATATGAAGCAGAATGAGAAAACCGTTTTGAAAATGTCAAGTGGAAAAGGACAATGGACAGGGACAGAAAGAAACATTCCAACATAAAACTGAAAAGTGATGGGTTCAACGGTCTGGGCTTCCCCTATCTTGCTTGAACCTTGCTTGCAATGTGTTGAGTCATTCCTGAACTAGATTTCACACCACTATTTGGGTGTTAATAGCTAAGCTAAATGTGTTAGTACACTGTCCTCTTGCATCCCAGCCACCACACAAGCTTGCTTTCAGTAGCAAAACCATCTCATGGGCCCCAGTAGAACTTCCAGAAGAGATGCAAATTGTTAAAAAGACTAGAAATGTTCCGGAAAAGTTTTCAGAAGAGAGTAATCACTTGGCTGCTCTCTATCAGCTCTGTTCCCCAGTGCCCCTGATTCCCACATGGTTATTATCAGCTGGGCTGACCCTGCTGTTAATCTGCTGCAACTTTACTCACTGTTTTGTGCCAAAGTACTTACGGCTCTGGTGTGTACATGGGTTTGGACCCATGGCGAATGTACTGTGTAGAGTGGAATACTCGAAATGCCAGCCCAGCCAAGAAATCCCGAGAGGACAGCAAGCCTGCAACAGGACGCAGGCGAAATCCAGTGCAGCCTGAAGGGGGAAAAAAAATGGAATCTTAAAAACAGCTAGTGTGTTTAATTTATCCATATCCAGACTTCTCACAGTGGAAAAAGTTTGTTAATTGTTTTGGGGTTGGTTTGTTTTCTTTTTTTTTTTTTTTTATTCTCTCCTTATGTTAAACAAGAATTTAATCGTGCAAGAGCAGGGAATTTGTTACTCATATATACCACCAGCACAGTATCTGAGCATCCATCCAACTGTACCCCTGGAACCAGTAAAGAGGGACTTGGGACACAGGTCATGTGCCCAAACATCAGAGGGGGCCTAAGGTAAAGCAGGGGCTGTTTTTACATCTCTGGAAGCATCACCCCCACTGATTACTGAGGCCTTTAATTTAATTTTTTTTCTTTTAGTTGCTTCAAACTTACTCTGCAAGAAGTTTGAAACATCTTCAAGCTGTGGAATATTGTCCTCCCGGTAGCCACAGTACTTCTCCAGCAGTGGGAACACATGGTTGTGTTCATAACAAGCATGAGTTGGATAGAGAGTCTTCAGCTCCCTGAAGACGGTGCCCCATGTTTTCTTTTCTTCTTCCGTATAGGCGATACGAGGAATAGGTTGGCCACTAGAAAGAAAATGGTACCCTCCATAGCAGCGACACAAAAAATGTCATATGCCACCAGCACCACACTCTTTCTCCTTTTACACTAGCCACTGTCAAAACAGTTTTCTTATTCTGCTTCATATTGCAGCTTTACTTGGGCTGATCAGGAGCAGGAGGGAAGATGCCTTTGGTCTGACATGCAGATGCAAAAGGAGCCTCACTTGTCCCTAGGCACTGGCTGGAAACGACTCTACTGACCTTGGCTGAGATACTGGCCATTAGACAGCTCCTTACATTATTGTGCTAAAAATAAATCAGTGTTTCTTTGCTTTATCAAGATGTTCTTCTTTTTTGCATTTTTAGATATGAAGTAGCTGGTTTATTTCTTGCTCTAATGCACATTATATTAATTGTTTTTGTAACAACAGGGAAACCACCAGCTTAATAAAACTCTGTTGGAGTGGCAGAGAAATTCTGATCTGTGCTTTATGCTGTAACAGACGCAGACTACAGCCAATTTGACTTTTTATAATTGTAATGAGCAATTTTGAGTTAAATCCCACCCTCAGGCCTCCATGTGCTTAACTCACGTTGAAGCTAACAGGAATCATACAATCACAAGCAATGCAGTCTGGCCTCCTGTGAATAGCCAATTCCTCAGCAATAATGTTAGGGCCATAGGTGAATCCAGCAGCTTTGAAAAATCAAAGGGTTTTAAGTAACTTAATAGGGTTAACATCACTGCTGGAATAATGCTGTAGCTTTCCAAGCCCCTGAGACCCATTGTTATACTCTTGATGACACCCTACCATCTCCCACTCCCTCATTTTTTTTCTTGAGCCTCAGGGCAGCTCCTCTGGAGTACCATCATTTTCTGACTCTCTGTATCAGCTCTCCTTGATCTGTGGAGCTTTAAGCATTATGTTGAATTATGAGGATTGCTGGGGGATTGTTGTTCCTATAGCACTCCTAAGTAATCCTCAAACACCTTCCAGCGCTACAGGGGGAAGCTGTGGCTTGAAAAACCTTTCAAATTTCAAATAAAAAATTTTAGGATCAGCAGGGCCGGGGGCAAAGGAAAGCAGAATAAAGAAGCAAGCTAAAAGCAAAGAAAAGAGAAGTCAGGGACACTAAGCATTCAACAAAAACAGTGGGTAAATCTATCAGGAGGGGAGGCAAAGAGCAAAAGAAAAGTAGAGGCAAACATCATAAGAAAGAGGATAAAATAGGTGCAAAAGAAGGGATATAGAAAAGGATGGAATTGATGACAGGAAGAAGAGAACAAGACAAGCAATCGCTGACCCATCACACCTTTGCAGCCAGATAGCACCTTCACAAGCTAAGTACATTTGCCTTTTCAGATACTTCCTATGAAGCCTGAAAATTTCGGTTGTGCCTCCCCTTGCCTGCTTCTCTGTGTCTCTGTCTCCCTATGCTGGAGACAACCTCTGACCTCTCCTCCCCACTGCAGAGCCTGAAAGGTGTAGCATTGAGGGCAAAAACATCACAGATCCATCTGTGCATTCCTGAATTAACACACAAAGCCACAAAACCCACACACCTTCTTTCCATGAGCCTCAGAAGCCCAGACATGGGCTTATACACCCTATTTACTGAAAGACCTAATTGGAAAGTCTGAGAACTTGCCCTGAAAGGTTCATTTGGGACTTAAGTCCAGGTCTATATAAGCTCTGTTTCCAGTGTGTCTGAAGATCTGGATAACAGACTAAATATTAATAAGTTACATCTTGGAACATACTGGTTTAGTTTGAATCTTGTAGGGAGGGATGGTTAGCTTTTTTGTTTTATTTCAGTGTAAAATTTGGTGAAAGCCTACAAACTAGAGAACAGAATTTGCTATCCTCTATGCAAGAAAGGTACTTCTTTTGTGAGATGTCCATCAAGGCACGTTAGATGCATTCATATCTGGACACAACGTCTTATTCAAATTTCCTAGCTGTGAACTGGGGTCCTGACTTTTTTTACCTGACATCTTGCATTTTCCATCAATCAGTTCAGTTTTGTCTCTCATTTTGTGTTTGGATTATTAGCTCTTTTGTTTAGGGGTTATCTTTTCATCCTATGCAAAGTGGAGTAACAAATGTAAAACGTAAGTTACTTTTTTCTTTGCAATCACGATTTTTACCAGTCCCAGCAAGAATCAGGACTAGTAATACTAATCTTATGTGTGAGTGGCTCTGGGAAGAGAATTTTTTCTCCTCCAGATCTGATCACTAAAAGCAATCAAGCAAGCCTGTTGTAACTGAATTTATCATATCCATTCATTTTTCTTGGGAAATGAGAGCCCAAATTGCTGATTGCAGCTGGATCAGACATGATAAAAGTAGAGTATCAGACCCTGGATTAGCATCAGAACCATAAGTTATTCATTATTTTAATAGTGTATGCAGCTCCTGCTTTAATGTTAATGATAGGCACTCCTCTCCCAGCCCCGGTTTAATGGGGAGAATGCCAGAAGCTTCTTTATTCAATGCTCAGGTCTTTGTAGTAGCAACAGAGTCTGCTTCTCAATTAGACAACAAAGCCAGGAAAGAGGGGTGTTGAGGGGAAAGAAGGGAGGTGATGTTCTCTTCTGAACATGTGCATGGAACAATTTGCTTTTGGTTTGCCGTGATTTGGGGATAAGTGCATGAACAGTAAGATTTAAACACATGGTGGAGAAAAGAAAACAGCAGAAGGATTCTTGTGCGAAAACAGGGATTGGCAGCAGGGTGAGCACCCTAGGAGAGGGCAAGAGATGTGGGTTTGCTTTCTGCCCATGCACTGGGTACTCACTGTCTGTAGCTGTAGGCAATATCTGCAAACTCCTTCCTCCGGGCCCGGTACACAGGATCTTTGAACCCCTGGAGAGAAACAGAGACGGTCAATCCATGCATAAGTACAAATGGTGGACAGCCTTCCTCCCACTGAGCACTCTCAGGCATGGCTGGTGTAGTCTGAGAAGGGCAGGGGGAAAGCTGCCTTCCGTTCTGCCAGGCTCTGTCACAAAGGGTACCACTCCTTCCTGGTCTGCACAGCCACCAGAGCAGCCTTCCAGTCACAGTCTCACAGCACCTCTTGTCCCACAGGTCCTTTCATTTTCCCACTTCTGCTTGCTGCAAAACAGGGAAACATGCTACTTTACAGCAAGAGCAATACATAGAACTAACAGCACTCGGATAACCGTGCCTTTCTGGTTTCTCTTGAAGCTTATTGCTGTTCCTGGCACAGCTGGGATGCTTCAGAGGAGCAGAATCAAAACACACTAGAAACACATTCATCAACTCAATCAGACTTTTTAGGCAGATTTTCAGCATGAACCACACTTAAAAGTGCTCATTTTCAAGCTGCTAGAGAAACAGTAGGCACTTAGCAGGCCAAAAAGCCCTATTTGTACTACAAATTCAATCATTTGAAGGGAATTAACGACTATAAAGAATGTCTAATAGACCTTGTGGTTGGGAGCTTGACCTTTGCAACTAATTACCAATAAACCCGAGGATAAGAAATAAAACCTCTAAATCTTCATCTAGGATAACCATTCTCCTACCCCAGTGTGCCTGCTTTGTAGACTAAAAGTTCCTCAGGGCTAGGGATGCCTTCAGCATTTGGAGTATAGAAAAATCCTCCCACACTAGGATGCACTGCGACAAGGCAAATGGGAACAGCTCACTGGGCACCACGGTCATTCATAAATGTATCTCTTAGTGGTGAACAGCACAGCTCGACTGAGAGACCATGAAACACAACAAAGTACAGGAGACGGCTGAAGTAGAGTGTAAATCTCAATGTGAATTAAAAAGAGGCAGCCAATGGCCAAGATTAACCCTTCACAGAGGTCACTGTGATCACATTCCTTATATCACTTTAACTACTAAAAACACAGGTTTCTCTAATTTCTCTTCTGCACTCTGTAGACCGTCACACCTATTTACCCCATCAGCTGGCTTTCTCTTTTAAGGCACAAGTGCTCACTGAATAATTCTAGGAACTGGAGGAGAGATGCTTCATTCCTTTTAGTATATTTTTCTTTTTTCAAATACAATCTTGGTCTATTCCCACATGACACACAAGGGGGCCATTGGCTCAGTGTATCTCCTTTCATTCTGCCTTTCATATGACCACACTGAACATCATGAATCATTGTACATGGTACATAACACATCTTGAATTAAGCAATAGGTAGTGAATGACTAATCACTCCATCTCAATTAAACTAATAGCAGCAATTTTTGTTGCACTGCATGTAATTTATTTATAATCACCCTATCTCAATTAAACTAATAGCTGCAATTTCTGGTGCACTGTGTGGAACTGTGTGTTTTGACAATGAAAACAAGTTGTTGTTTGCTTGGAGAGGGAATAGAGGCAGAAAATATTCTTGTATCTGAAAAAACTGAAAAACCACAAAACAAATTTTTTTTTATCAGCTAAGTCAATGAACAAAGCTTTCTGATGCTACCATTTAAACCACAAACTTTTTGAACCAAGAACCTTTTCTTTTATCGTGTCTCACTATACAAGTGAGACACATCACATTTAACAACCACATAACAACACACTAAGTTAAATCGTGTGTATATAATCAAGGATGAAAAAAGTCTTCTATCTCTGGGCTATGATATGTTGCTTCTGAAATTTTTCTTGTTAGTGATACACAAAATGAGTCTGAAGTGACCACATCAGAGTCACCTGGGAAAACTAGATGTGCCCTTCTGGTTGTCCTGTGCTCTGATGACCACTGATGACTTTTAGATACTCCTGGTATGTTCTCAGTTAAAGCAACCTGCTGTTTAATTTACTTCATAACCAGGGATTAGGTTGATTCTAACTCTAAAAATGTGGTCCCACCCTTGTCCTATACCATGTGAGACTTAGTCTACTAGATCTGTACTAAAGCAGAGCGAATGTAAATGAGAGAAACATCTGTCCTAGCAACTAGAAAAAAAGCTAAAAAAAAAAAAAAAAGCTCTTACAGGATGATCAGCATCCAATTCTGCTCCGTAGCTTAGGATCTGATTGGCGAACCTGTCCAGCTCCTGGATACTTCTTGGGAACCATGGCACTGCAAAACAGAAAAGAAATAGAGACTGCTATGTTTGTTTGTAATTTGGTTTGGGGGCACTTTCTGATCTTTCCATTTTTTCATCATAAACATAAAGAAATATATGCAAGGGGCTAAATTCTTTGGGCAGCAATCCCTTTTCCTGTAGTAGGAAAAAGAACCAACTGTGCAAGTTGTCTTGAGTTTGTGGCTGTTTTGCCCTGTTGGAAGAATACAGAGCATCAAGAGTATCTAACCCTTGGTGCAGAGCTGCCTTGTAATATTTATGGGTTTCTGTTTACTACTTCTGGTCTCTTGGCTTATCAAAACATGGGAATTTTTCCCCATAGCTAGAATTTTTCCCCCTTTCAAAGGGACAACAAGAAACTGCACAACAGGGATACAGAATTATTTGACTCTCTAAAAATCTCTTTCTGAGACCTATATGGTGACCTCACTTGAACAAGGATTCTGAAATAAAATGATAAATGGCACTATAATACTCCCAACCAGCACTGTATTACTACAGTCATTATACAATAACGCATTCACTTGATTAACATTCTTGGTCTGTCTTCTATTGCCTTGTAACTCATACACTATACATGCTGCCTGTGGCACAGCCAGCATGTGAGAAGGGACCACATTGACTACACAGCATGTAATGTCCATGGGACCCTCCCCTTAAATAAGAATATAAAGTGAAGGACAAAGAAAAATCACAGGGATTTGCTAATTTGACATGTTGAGACTGAGAAAAGGAGAAGTTAAGTGTTTTCATGGCAATTGCAACACTGAGAGGCTCTTTGCATCTCCTAGGCACATAGAGCAGTCATCCTGGGTCCAACCTCCTTCCCAGAGCCAGAAGTGCATTCACCCAGCGGTGTAGGCAGTCTCCTGACACATATCCCCTTGACAGAAAAAGGTCTGTCACACTTGCAGTGGCTGTACCAGGCAGCAGCCCTCCCTTCTTCTTCTCCTCCAAGATGATCTAGCTGTATATCAAGCCAGGCCACCACTGGGCCTGGCCACCCCATCCCTCTGCAACGTTGAGACAGGAAAGCTCAGTGGAGGGAGCACAGTAACCATGGGTCCTTGCCAAGTTATCACTTTGGGAAGTGCATCACTAGCATCACTACCAGGTAGCACTGGCAGATGAGCATATCTTGGGAGCTGCTAGCTCTGCTGTGTTCAGCTTGCTCGGGTCTCCCTTCTGTTGCCTCATTCTTACGTTTTTGCCCTTCTGATCAAGGCTGCCTGCATCTTTCCCCTTTCCTTCTGTCCAAGTCAGAGTCAGTTGTCTAGCCTAAATGTCATCTAGCCTGTGATGAACTTCTGACAAATACAAGTAATTGTTCTTTGAGCCCAAATATACATCTGTCTCCAGGAAACTCTGCAGCACTTAGGTCTATCATTTCTTTACATGCAATATGAAAAATTACTATCTTTTTTTTTAAACTTGATTATTTCATCTGTTGTTAATTAGATCCTGCATATAAACATCATTTTTGTCATTCATTTTTTCCAGGTCACCTAGGAATTTATATCTCCCTGTCAGATCCTCCATCTACTCTCTGTTTTCCTAGCTTTTCCTGTGTATTTTAGACGCAGAAACCATGGGCTATCTCATGGTACTCCCATGACCTCCCTCTGCACCACTTTCAGTTCTCCTTTTTCTGTTGAAAGGATACAAGACCTTCATCTGAGGATGTACTCCATGCTCAGGCCATGGAATCATGTCCCACATGCTCCCCACACTGAGTACAAGTCAGCAATATGTACTTCAAATCTAACATGACCCAAAGATCCTCTGATCCAAGACCAGGGGCAGTCTCTATTCATAAAAGGTTTGCAAGTAATTTAGTGACTTTCTTGCACAAATAGGCATTGCTTGCTCAGCCAGTGCTTGGAAAACAGCTCAATCCCTTCTGTAGCGTTTTGCTTAGCTGGGAGGACTGCCACTCAGCCATATCCCCCCATCTTGTTTTGTGTGTTGCGCCAAGTGAACCTGATCTCCAGGACTATTCAGCCACGCTTTCTGCAGAGCCCAACTATATGGGGGGAGCACTTGAGGGTTTCTACAAGTCACCTGCACAGAGGTGCTGGAGCAGCAACAGCAGGTCACACTTTGGCTCAGCCCCATGCAGAGTGCCCACTGCCCCTGACCTACCGTCCCAAGGCCAGCCTGGCTCCAAGCAGCACTCCTGCTTGGGAGCCTTCAGATTTGTTTCAGGCAGGCCACAGAAAGCAGGCAGCTGGTGGCTGTGGGCCAGGAAGATCCCAGACCGCCTGGGCTCCCCGGGCTGCAGAGACCCTTCAGGGTGCTCAGCGGTGCTCCAGCTGTGCTTCGCCTTCTTCCGCACAGCAGAAGTGGGATTTGGTCCACTCTCTCCAAGATGTGCGCCCTTCTGCTTTACCCTAAAAACCAGACCTGAACAAGTCACTAGATGGCAGCAGCAGACCCAGGAAGATCTTCCCCGCATGCATTTCTTTGCTGCTGGATGTACAGCTACTTCTCTTATTTGCTCCAGAAATACTCTGTCACCTTGTTGTTAGAAACTTTCCTGCACCTCCAACCCCTTGAGTTAAACTAGTCAGATGGGGGAGTAGAAAAAGGTGTGTTTAATCCCTAGAGAGGCGTCACTACTTACATCATGCGTAGGGTGAGCACAGGCAGCCATCCTGCCCCTGTTTTTTTATGTGGGTTTATCTCCTGGCTCTATCCCTGAGTTTTGTGTGATGGTGGGGGACTCTCTCCACTGTGCTTCAGGCTCCCCACTATCAAGCTGGGCTGAGATACACTGGTAAATATTTTTAGATTAGGCACTGCCTGGCACTCCCACAACAAAGGACTTGTCAGTGTCAGAATGAATAACCACTCTTCTCAGGGATGCACCATGACCTGAAGGGTCCAGGCTGCATAGACAAATTCGTGGAGGCTGAAGTCTGAGCTGGATTTTGGCAGTGATGGTTGTGGGGCTTTGTTTGCCTGAATCAGAAAGGTGTCAGGAGCAAGGTTTGAATCGTTGCAACTTCAAGGGATAAAATGGATGTATAACAGGGACTTACTTTCATTAAATACAATTTTTTTCTCAAGATTGCCAAAGTACTTTGTGCGGAGCTCACAATAAACTACAAAAAAACTGACTCCAGGCTGATATGGTATCAGTTGCAGGTGTGGACATGGGTGACTTGTTTTTCCCCTACACAGGAGCAGTACCTTATCTTCCTGGCATGCAGCTCCTGCAGGGCAGAAATCTACTGATCCTGTCTACCCAAACACCAGCAGCAGCAAAAGAAAGCAGCTCTGAGTTTAGAGCTGGCTGAAAGTGGCAGGCTATGAAAGGGAAATCCCGAAGATATTTACTGTTACTTGCACCAGCATAACTGATGTTAAGTTGGGTCCTGGAAAGTCCTGAGCCTTCTCAGCTCTTATGGAAATCCAAAAGATTCTGAGCACAGACCTCGGACAGACACTGCATCAAGTCCATACAGCCCTCGCATGGGGGACCAGGGTGCACAAGGGCTACTGGGTCTTCTGCCTAACTGTGGAGTGCCAGGAGACTGTCCCCAGCCCTCTCAGAAACTATTTAAAAGATCAAATCAAATTACCCCCTGGCTGCTACTATTCCATATTTTGTTTGCAACATCCTCCTCCAGCCTGTTTGCCAGACTCACTGTCTGTCTGCACAGCCATTAATGAATTGCCAGGGCAAGCTGTTGCAACACAGGGTCTCTGTGAAGGTCTGAGGAGCAAACGTGGGCTGATCAGTAATAAATATTGATTTGTCTGTAAATGAAACAGCAGCATTTATGGAACCATGCTGGACACCCAAGTGGTGACCAAATTACTGTGGGGTCAAATGCTTAGCAGAATGCTAATAAGCCATTTATATGAGAGGCAGCAAAGTAGGGGCAGAGAGGACTTCTGCAGAACTCCTCCATTTGGACTATTGTGAGGAGGGTCAAAGACAGGTCTATGCAATTTATAGCAGTTCAAGGCCCAGGTTTATCCCAGTTTTAAACAGTCTCAGATGCTTTAGCCAGCCTCGGGGTTTAGCAAACAAGGCCCCTACAGAACCACAGCTCCTAGCTTGTCTTAGAAATGCAATAAATTGTCTGCATTTCCCTAATGCTGCAACAGAATAATATTTAATTATTTTTATTCATGGGCTCCAAGTGAACTGCAGATAGCCAGCTTGTTTCCAAAAAGAGCCATGAACAGATGCACTGTGTTTGCACAACAAATCTTTCCATCTGTACAAAGGGCTTTTGGTCCAGGAACTACCAACCCTTCTCATCTGAAGCTCTAAAGCTACATTTGGATTTAGAGCATTTTGCTGGCCTGCTCTCAGCTAAAATTACACTGTTGAACCAAATCTGGTATTTGTGTCTGTTTGAATGTGTTGATTATATTTTGCATTTAGTTGAGAAAAAAAACCAGCAACCTAAAAGCAGTTAAAGTGACAAAAAAAATAGCAAGAAAAAGGAAAAAGCCATTCATTTATCCTTTGCCCAATAAAGCACATATGCGTGTGTAACACTGAACTGTAGAGAAGGGACAGAATACAGAAATTTCCTCTGAGTGTCCACAAAGCAGTGCCCTAAGAATGATACTGTGTGCTTCCTACAGGAAACAGCAAAATAGTTTTTTTCTTTCTCAAATCATGAGCATGAGAAAAATGAATACTTAGCAGGGAAAGAATGAGAGCATCTTTAGGCAGCAGTAAAAGAACCAGTCCCATGGGATCCCAGACTGCCTGCAGAAGAAAACATTCTCAGCTTTTACCTGCCCACTGAGAGGAATGTGGCAATATCCCCATAAACCATATTTCTGAGATGTTGCTCCCTGGGTGCATACTTTTCTAGTTCTGTGTTTTGGGAATAAGATTTCACATAAGCACACCCATGGACTGTGACCAGATTTGCCAGGAGGATACATTTGAAAGGCAAGCTGGCCAAAAAGGCACCACAAGGCCTGTTATTTGTTAATGCCATCACTGATAAAGGACAGCATCTTACCACACTTCCTACAGCTTGGGCTGTTCCGATCTCAGTCTGCCCTTGTAGCTGCCTTAGACCAGAATTTGCCACCCACAGTTCATCCCCTAAGCAGGGCTTGTTTGACCTTTCAAAATATGGTTCTTTGGGGATTTCAGTTTGACTGGACCCTTACTATTTGTGAGAGGAGTTGAAACTGAAAAAAAAAGGGAAAGGGCAAAAAGAAATATCAGTCTTCCTCTGTCTCGTCAGCAACAGATTGCTCCCACTTTATATTATTTCTGAATTACTGAAACTAACAAACAAACACAAGTTATCCTCTCAGACAGAAAGGGATAAAGTCCCTTTCTGAAGCACTGACAGGATAATCTAGCTCAAAAAACCCTTTGATCAACACAGTAACATGCAGTGAAATCCTAATCCTACAGCTGACCGCAGGAGTTTTGATTTCTGTGAGGTCAGAATTTCACACCCAAGACTTTCTTGAATGATATTTAGAGCCGTATCTCTATCCGACTCTGGTCTATGCTTATACAACACTCCATTATTTATAAGGTTTATTATTTACTTCTTCATAATAACTAGAAAAATATAAGTAATGTTAAGTCCTGCTAGGTCCTGTAGCTTTCTTCTAGAAATTAAAAAGGTCCCAATAGTGAACCTCTTTGATTTGACATGATCATAAATCACCTAATCAACCTTTTGTACCTTCGTCTCATGAATGGAGAGAACTGACTCCAAAGAGTATCTGACTTCTTCTTTTTCATCTTCAAATGTAATGTCATGGCTAGGACACAAAGGAAATGGTAAAAGGATTACCAGCACTGATCTCAAGAAGGTATTAAAGTCCTTTCATGTCGTTCCTAGGAAGGAAGAGGAAGATCCAGACCTAAAGTATTTAAAGTCTGAAATCCTATTAAAATCACATCTGTTATCTGAAGAGGCGTTTAAGTATGTCTCGGACTAGCTGCTGGGCAGCCACCACTTTACCAAGCAGCCTCAACTCCAGCAAATCTCTGAGAATTAGGAGCATGAAAACAACTCACAAAATATTTCCTTATTTCCCTCCAAAGGTAGAATTGCAACTGGCCTCACTGGGATTTCCTACAGTAACAGAGTTAGTCCTGCTCACACCAAAGTGCATGGCAGAGTCTCCCTAATTTTCCAGGAGACCTAGTCAGAAGCATGGCAAAAGATGAAGCATGGCAGTTTACACTGCCAGAAAATCTCTAAATGAGAAAGCTTACAGTATAGGCAAAATAGGCAGAGAGAGAGAAATGTAGCCACAGGTTCCAAGAGGATCTCCTTTACTATGGGAAAAATAAGTAATTCCTGTATGTGACACAAATATTCCTTGTCAGTGTTAGCCTTGTCAGTGTATCCTTACCAGTGTCCTTCTTCTTTGTTCGTGAAAGCTCATGGACTGTTGCTCCAATATCACTTCTCAAGGATTTGATGATCTTATCCAGTGCTGGGACATTCTTGCCTTCTAAGTTAATGAAGAACTCGTACTCATCTTTGTTGAGACGGGAAGGTCGGGACTCAATATGGGTCAGGTTTATACCTTTTTCCTATGAGAAAAAGAAATTTTATTGCCACAGGGTTTGGGAGAGGGAATATGACATAAAAGCTGGATAAACACGTGTCAGTCAAGAAACCATACTATACAATCCAAACAACTCAAAAGCAGACACTTACCTCTTAGGGCCACTGAACTGAGGATTTTCACAACAGAGAGAGGGACAGAAAGGAAAAATGAAAAGTATGTGGGATTCCCCCTCATAAAGCTTAGAAAAAGGTGGAAGCAGGATACAAGTTGTAAACAAGCTTTGTATTCTAAATGGTGGCTCCAGTACCTGAAGTATGTAATGAGAGCCCACCTGTGTCGACAAGCACATTTCCCAAGGATCAACACAGAAAGTAGGCATTCCACCTGTAGGGTACCCTCTCATGAGAAACTGAATGCTGCACTTGTGAACATCTTGAAAGAAGACTGGAAAAACAAGCAGCTGTGCACCCTGTGAGATAAGCTTCTGACAAACCACTGCACAGTCACCTGCAAAGCCACCTGCACGATTTCCAGGGCTGTGAGCAGCTGCTGGGCAGAGATCCAGTGGGAAACATGGATTTGCACCAAAAAAAAAAAGGCAGCCCAGGTTTGTGCAAATAAAAACATGGGTGTTTTAAGTCAAAGAATCACAGAGTTGCTGAGGTTGGATGGGACCTCTGGAGATCAGTTAGTCCAACAAATTGCTCAGGCAGGTTCTGCTAGAGCAGATTGCTCAGGGCTGCGTCCAGTCGAGTTTTGAGACTCCTCAGTATGTCTGGTACTGCTCCAAAATCTAATCACAGAAAATATTTTTTTTATCTTGGGAACTGGTATTCTGTCTCACCAAATATCTTTGCTGACCATCAGCAGTGTCTTCTAGCTCTGAAGAAAGAGTTCATTGGCAACTAAAGTTTTGATGACTAGAGACAGTGGGAACCTGACCTCAGACATGCCACCATGCTGACATGTGAGCAACAAGTAGCTAAAAATCATATTTTTCCAGTCACTTCAGCAAAAGTCTGGGACAATCTACCTCAGTTTAGCTGAACTAAAATGTTTTCCTGAGAACTGTATTTTGAATATGAAAATATTGCTTGCTTTTTTTTTTTTCTTCTGAGAAGAACCTTTTAAACAGGTTTCGGTGGGCACTGACTTTGCCAGCTGACCATCCTGTCAGTCTCACACTGAAGCTGAAGACACAGAATGACAGGGCCAGGTCTGGGCTTCTGTCCCCTGAGAGGAATATACAAATCCTTGGAGGAAATCTGGGCCTGAAGATCAGAGAATCATAGAATCATCAACCCCAGAAGAGTCAGAGGAGGTGACATATGGTGATCAGCAGACCTGGAGAAGCTTTTGTTCTGCTTCTTTCAAACTAAAGAAAACCCCAAACTACACGGGGTGAGGTGATGGCCCTGGTGGTGTCAGTGTCAACCCCCAGTTGTAGAGAGGTCAGGAATTCATCCATGAAGTAACACTGTGAGGATCTACTTGTGACCTACAGGGAAGAAAGAGGGAACCTTTTTTATCTCTACATCCCTCTGTGTGAGCCTCCAAATCCTTTAAGGTTTTCTTTTCTCCTCTCAGTTCTTGCACAGTACAGGAGGGCATCTGGCCATCAGTGGCAAAGGCGTCATTTACTCCACCACAAAAGGCAGTTTATTACTTGATAGGAAACACACACGTGATTCCTCTGTTTCCTGAGCAATGCACGCTACAGATGAAGTTAAATTGTTTGGCTAGATACCAATACAATAAGCTGAAAAGGTCAAAAGCGCATTCACCAACCGCTGCTCTAGAGAGATGACGGGGGTGGATCCCTCCTCGTGGGGCCATCTGGGAGGGAGAATGGCTGCCACTGTCCTTGGCCCCCAAGACAATTTGTTTTAGGCCTCCAAAGCCCCATTTCCCAAACAGACTGCACATTGTATCCTCTGCTCGGTGAGGGGCTGGGAGCTTCTGACAGAGAGCAGGCGCAGGGGACTGCCAGCCCCTCTGCTGTGGCCACTCTGTGGGGAGCAGTGCATCGGCGTGGTCTGGCACCTGGAGCTTGGGGCATTCTGCTGCTCTGCACAGACTTTCAGGAAGGTGGAGAGTGGGTGCAAAACCTCTTCCTGCCAAAGGCTCGTCGCAGGCACACTGAGGTGTTGCTTTACTTTCACTTTGTGGTGATGTGTAGGGGTGTTGTATTCTGTCTCTCTGTAGATTCACAGGCAAATGGGGTCCCAAGCCCTGACAAGGCTTTCTACATCATGCAGAGGCTGTGATAACATGGACCCATCTTCAGTGACTGTTATTTCCTACTTCCCTCTTCCACCCACAATTGTTCATCCCTGCCTCAGCATCCCTCCCCTGGAGATAGCAGAGCTGTTTGAGAGATCATAGAATCACAGAACCATAAAATAGTTTGGGTTGGCAGGGACATTTAAAGGTCATCTAGTCCAACCCCTCTGCAATGAGCAGAGGCATCTTCTGCTACATCAGATTGCTCATAGCCCCATTCAGCCTGACCTTGAATGTTTCCAGGGATGAGGCATCCCCCACCTCTCTGGGCAAACCATGCCGGTGTCTCACCATCCTCATGGTCAAAAGTGTCTTCCTTATGTCTAGTCCGAACCTACCCTCTTCTAGTTTAAAACTATTACTCCGTACTCTGTCACAAAACACCCTGCTGAAAGGTATGTCTCCATCTTTCTTACAGGCCCCCTTTAAGTACTGAAAGGCCAGAATAAGTTCACCCCAGCACCTTCTCTTCTCCAGACTGAAGATACCTGTATCCCTTTTTTTTTTTTTGACCAGATGACTTTTCCTCTGTACCAGCTCTCCAACCTGGCTCAGTGAGCAACTGCAAAGACAGCAGTGCCCACAAAACTAAGGGAAAGAAAAAGGGGGGAAAAAAGGAAGACAGGTAGGAAGTAGCTCATGGAGAGAGTGACCTCCTTTCTTACACTTGAGATAAGCAGGACACCCTCATGCAGACTGTCAAGCTGCTTTGCTGTTTATTGAGGGGTATCTGCCACTCAGCAATATGCGGAGCCAGCCCGATACCTCTTTGTACCAAGGCTTTAGGACCTCACAACAGAAGAAGCTAAAGGGAGAACCCTTCTGGTGACTGTTTCCAGAGCAAGAATTCAGCAGCATATGTCCAATTTCCTCAAGTCGCACTCCCGGAGAAACATGTTCTCATATGCTGTGCCTTACTACTAAGCCATGGATTTCAAAATATTTACAGTGGTTCTGTTACTAGAGTTGTTTTACAAATCTCAATTTCATTCTAGTCCAACTACTCCATCTAGTGTTTAATCTTCATAATTTCACATTGTTCAAAACTATTTTGTATCCTTGATATTGGCAAATCTTGCAATTGCATCAGGTTTCTCACAGTAGCTGATGCTTATTTAAAGCTCCAGCTTCTGGAGACAAATGGCTACTTGAGAAAGTCAGCTAATAAAAGTTCTTCCAGTTTTCTGAGCTATTTTTTGTTGCTGGAACCTAATTTCTAACCTAACTGGTTTGGGAAGATCTGGGATGTCATATATTCGAGGCTGGATTCACACCTGAACTAGTAACATTGGTCTCTTCTGACTTTCCTATTTTAGAGCTGGTGGGAATCAGATGAGCCCAGGGATTGAGACTATAGAAAGAAGTCTCAAGACACATTCTCAGAGCTCAAAAAGCAAGTTAGAATTTAGTTCTAAGCAAGTTAGAAGGGGACAGTGACACAGAAATCAAATTACAACATGGACAATGGTGGAAGCAGGGGGGAGTTTGCCCATGCCTGCCTTACCCCACAGTGCTGGATCTCAGCCTTGGTTCCCTCTGGTTCCTTGGTTCCCTCTGGTCCTTTAGAACCCTGGGTTCTTCCTGCTATGAAGCAGCTCCAGCCCCTTCCACAGGTTATTCTAGTTATGCCATCCCAACTGAGCATCTCCTACACTGCAGCTGCCCCACACCAGCAGGGTAAAATCAGCCTGGTGTTACACTACACAGGCAGTCTTGCAGAAGTCATTGTAGGAGAGAATTTAGTCACACCCTCAGAGAGTTTAATGACCTGGTTGTTGGAAAAGGAAAGTTGTGTTTTCATAGCTACATGAGGAAGCCATCAGTAGGGATGGATACTTTTTTGGGAAAGTTATGAGCTACTACTTTCCATGTTATTCGTATGTCCTTCTGTTTATGCAATACTAAATGCTCCTGTACACGGTTCTAAAACTAAGTACAGCTGTTAAGCTCAGCTGCAGCTTGTTTTCATGACTGTTGTCATTAATTAAGTTTGGCTTCATCAGGAGATCCCATGTTGTTACCAGATGAAGAACTCTTGACAACACTGGTGCCGCTAATCAACATTCAGTGAGAATTTGGGTGAAATCTCCCAAGACAAAGATTTGCTTGCACTTTCTGGTACCAAAAAAAAAGGTGATTGTTCTTTTAACCCTTCCCACGGTGTAGTTCAGGGTTTCCTGGAGGAGGACACTTTCAGAAGCACAAGTAGAAGCCCAGTGCCTAATTTTCACAGGCGATCAGGGAACTTAGGAAGCTCCTGTGGTGGCTTCAGCCACAGATTCCCAAAATGAAGGCAAAGGCAACCATCTGGTTCAGCTTTACTGCCCAAGGGGCTGCTTCTCTGCTGAAGACAGTACTTCTCCATATTCTTCACATCTGCTAGGGTCTTCCTTCCAAGCTTGTGGAGGCAAAGTAACCCAGAGCAGGTCCCTGCCAGCAAACAGCTCCAGAGAGCAGCTGGCCCTCGAGGAGCCCCTGGTGTCCATCACTCAGCAGTTCTGTTCCAACCCTGAAATTTGGCATGAGGCTTTCAGCACAATCTAGCTACAAAACACATGGAGCAGGACAAACCACAAACATGTGGCACTGCACGAGCACCTACCAGGAGGGCACTCCTCTCTTTAAACTCATATTGGTTTGTTAGATCAAGAAGTCCTGCTCTCCTGCCCCTAGGGCCAGAGATAAGACTGAGGACATGGCTTTGGAGCAGTGTAATAAAAGGATTATAGCTGTGCATAT